CTCCGGAACATAAACGTGTCCCTCAAGTGTACTCGATGGTATTTTAGATGCGTCTGAATAAAAAATGCCCATCACCTGGTATTAGAAATCGCTTGGCTCCTACCTTTGTATCTTTCGGACACAATAGCATTAGCAAATCGGTTTATTTCTTATGTCGGGATAAATGACGGTTGATTCTGTGTACTAAATTTGAAACCTGGTTCAAATAATCGTGGCTGGGGGTACATGGTTGCTTTTCATGAATAAAATTATTAGTGCTTGGAAATTTTAACTTCCTTTTCCAGACGCTCTCCAAGCTGGTGCTTCACAGTTTGAAGCTAGTGCTGGCAAACTGAAAAACAAGTATTGGTGGAAGAACATGAAAGTAAGTCCGCNTAAGTCCGCCTGTGTTGTGTTCGCTGCTGCACTTAATCTGTTATCCCGATACGACCTGAAAAAATTGGGAATTTATCTGATTTTTATTCCCCGTTGATAGTTTGCCTAGTTTTTACCAAAACATGATCATTTACTCGAATTTTATCACAGCTTTGGCTTTATATGCAACGTGGTGTAATGCCTACATTTTACCGATATTGTACACTGCAAATCCGAGTTACCCTATCGAATAAGCCAACTTTTGTTACAGTGTGAGAAGGAATTAGTTCTTTTGTTGTTGTTCCATAGTACAGTTTGAATAAACGGAGACTCGTGAAAACTTTCTGCCGTCGTACTCGTTCTTCAGTCTTCTGGACTACAAATTGACAATAAAACAATTTTCTGGACTTCTTCGTCACCTGTTTGCCTTAGTAATTGGAAGGGTTCACATGCGTGATAGCTACCTTTCATAAGATCACACCCTGCAACTAGGCTCCCACTTATAAGTTCAATTCTGTTTGTACGGCCACTTTCGTGCGACGGTTTTGGTTGCCCGATTGGATGAAGCACCAAGAGAAATACAGGAAGGTTGAAAGCAGAGTCGAAGAGGAATGGAGAATTTCAGTGGATTAAGGCTGCGAAGAAATTGAGGAGATGCAGAGGTGCCATTGTTTATGACACTCAGTGTCTCTAACCGTTGATTACAATGATCCCAAGATTCCCATCCAGGGTGTGTAACGCGGCCTATAGGATCAAGTCTTCTGCTTAGGCTTCTCATACCCTCATGCCAGGTCTTATTTTGACCACCTTTGGCTTTTTCCACTCACTACCTGCGTCGGCAAACATCGCGCGCCGTGGCAATCTATTTGGTGGCATGCGTAACACATGCCCCAACCACTCTCTCCATTGGGCGGCCGCAATTACCTACATCTCGGCACTGCTTGTTCATTTGCCCCACCATATTCGTGCAATGCTGCTTAGACAGTGGTGTTCGAACACCGGCTGTTCTGTAATGGTAAAGTCTGTGCACCGTACACCACACCTGCAGAATCGCTGTAGCATACACTCTACCCTTCACAAGCAGCCGGATATCGCGACGGCGTCACAGATGTCTTACGTTGGCAAGTGCTACTCGAGCCTTCTGTATGCGTGCCCACACTTCATCCGTGATACGTCCACTGGGTGTAGCTGCCCAAATAACAAAATGAGTGTCGTAACATTCGGATAACAACACGACTGGACTAGTTGAACCGTGACCCAAACAGAACGAGCGGTAGGACTGACCACGGATAGGACCGTAACGGCCCAGTGACAGACAGAATACGCCCGGATTACTCTACCCAGAGCGGAAAGAACGTACCGCGAGAGTAGTGCGATCCCGGAGCTCAACCAGAGAAGACGGAAGACAGGCCTTCAGGTGAGGTTGTGTTGGGCTCGACCCAAAAGGCAATGGCTGTGGACAACTGATCTGTTTATATGCAGTTTTGAGACTGACCAGCAAAGACCTTGAAAATTAGCTATAAAGTACAGAGTTCTGAGGAAAGGGACCAATCAAGATCAAGTATGACCGGCGGTGTGAACTGAGGTTTTTCCACCGCGAAAATTCGGAAATTCAAATTTTATAAAAAGATGAAAATGGAAATAGTCATTTTTATAGAGAAAGATGATCTTTTACCTATAATCTAACTATACTTCTCCAGTTAGAGTATGGCTGGGAGCTGGACAAACAGTCTTGTAGCAGTATTTTGCAATTAGAAGGAGCATCATGCATACCGAACTAAACCGATGGGGACATCCCATCCGGGCCGGGGAACCTATGCTTTTTGAAATAACTTAAGTCTCTGGAAATCTACACTTCAGATAGGACTGAACTGCCCAGCGAGGCAGCTTCATCTGGCTTCTACCTATTTACCTTTCGGGCATGATTGGGTCTGCGGTTGTGAGGAGCCATCCTGTTTAGCTTACAGGGGGATGGAGGCACACAACGTCAAGGTGTACTCTTCGTAATAATCCTACGTATGTGCTTAACGTACCTTATCGCTCAGTTCAGTCTATAACCATAGATCCAGGACTGGCACGCCTCGTCGTATCGCGGTCGTCTGTTCTATAGTCTGAACCCGTCATTGGTGAAACACACTTCGTCTTATACTTCCAGAACTTGACCATTTGAGGCTTTCGGAAATACCGATGCAGCGGTATGTTCTTACAAATCAAACGATGTGCAACGTTCTGTTTGGTTGTCCTTGGTCTAAGCGTGATTAGCCACATGTTCAGTACTGACTGGCGATAGCAACGCGTCTGTAGTCTGATGACGTTCGATAATCTTCGCTTAGTTTAATTTATTTATTCCTTTTACACATCTAACGAAGCTCTTTTTCGCGTACTTTGGGTGGTTTCATACATTTTATTACCTTGGCACTCGCTTTTATCATTTTCAGATGAATATAATCATTGGGGGCGTTGTCTTGGTGGTCGTTATTGCGCTTGGCTGTAAGTGTGCATGTTTTTCAACGGTCTGTTTTTGATCCTCATAATTTTCGCTTTTATCGCCGTGGTGTCTCACCTGTTTTGGTTGTTTTGTTACATGTTGACCGAAGGAGTACTTGGTATTCCCTATTTCAAGGGACTCATGCTTCTGTCATGACGAACTTGCGTTTGTTTTTCCCCCAATGTGCTCGAGACTCCATCCAATCCATGGTTGCGTGATCAACTTGTTTTGATGATTTTGGGCTTCTCTCAATCTTCATAGTGGTGATACGTAAGAATGACCGTACTTCTCATATTTTCTTCATTCTGCAATCAACATATTCTGTTCGATATTTGTATGGAATCTCCCATCACTCCCTATTATCTGTTGTGACTTTGATGTCTTATTCGTTGTTTCACTATCGTTTTCTATTTACTTCTCAACTGATGTAACAGGCAGTATTGCTGTTGTGTCGTCCGTCTTCGGTTGTAGTATTTCGTACTGTTAGGGAAGCAATTGACAAACGTGCACGGTAGACTGACCTTGTAGATAAAAAGGAAACTATTGAGAAAATCATAAATGCAGTGTTTCGCGAATCCTAGTGTCAGTTGTTTGAACGCCTAGTTTATTGTGCAGTTTCGCGTGTCATCGGAGGTTTAGAAACATGATTTCCTGCCCTCTATGTTACCGCTGACAGCTCCGTCCGCTATCACAGCGTAATTGGGTACTGTAACTATTTGAGTCAATATCGATATTATACAGTTTTCTAATAGAACTGGTATATTTTTATTCCGTTGTTGAGAATTGTATCAATGGTCATGTGCGAAACGTTAAATTTACTTTATCCCCAGCACACTGAATCACTATCAGATTACAACGTTGTAACACAAGATTAAGAATCATAAACTAATTCTTAGAAGTATACAGAAACGTCGATCAGATAAAATATGCCCGGATGTTGATTGAATCAATAGGTTTCTCGAATAATCTTATTCGTGTTTCGGCGTTTGTTTTCATCTCGCATATAGGTGATATCATGTATGTCGACAGACAGTTTTTACAGCCATTAGCCAGTAAACAGCAGATCGGAGTTCATCACCAAACAAGAAAGTAAGACACGCTGTTCGCAGTTAGTTGTTTGGGCCCTATTGTCGTCGTCCGTTCGGTGCGTCACTATCCCCACATATTTTCTTTTCTAATTGTTGTGTGATCGTTAACTGTTGTCCTGTGGCATGTTTCCAACCTGTCGTTTTCTATCCCGTTTGCAGAATGGGATCGCTGGTCTTATCGTTGTGATCGTCATATTTTTGGTGATAATGTTTATCATGACAGGTGGGTTCCAATCCGTGTAGTGTGAATTTATTACAAAATGACAGAGAAGCAGTTATCTACGTTTCGATTTTAAACATCACATCACTTTCCGTCCATCCATAAGTGGGATGTTCCTTGACTCAGAATCTATTTTTATTTTGACTCGCTTCACTGTATCTCGCTGTACGATGATGATAACATTTGTAAGTGGACAGGAGTGTTAACAAATACCATTATTGTGGAAACTTGAGCATCGTAAAATATTAACTGTCACCGTTGAGCGAACTTGCCTTTTCTTCGACTTTGCCCCTTTGGAGTAGTCATGTGTTTGTTTCCAACCACTCACTCACTCGTTTGTTTTTTTCTAGGGTACATTTTCGGTGGCAAGTAAGTCCTGGTTGAATTTTATATTTGATAAATGGTCATATATTTTTGAATCCGCGTGGATGCTAGACATTAATCGTTAGTCCCTAACTCCTCCATGCATGTACATATATATATAGTAAAACTATTGAAAAATTTCCCCCTAAATATGACGTTGCGATATTACCAAATAATCGGCTGCCGCTAAATTTTATCACTCGTTGCATTAGAAACAACTTGCACATATTTAGTATCATTATACTTGATGAGAAAGTTACGAATCCCATCTGTTTATCTGCTCTTCAAATGCTTACAGGAAAAATGAAGCAAGAGCGGCGCCAGCTCCGCTGCCTCCACCTTCACCGACTGGAGAAACTGCATCAGGAACTCATGTCGCCGCAGCGGTTGCGGAACATCCGCCTACCAGCAGTCAAACAAGACGACGTCGCCGCTGGGCACCAATACAAGACACCTCCGTCAGACTTGCCATATGATTGAACCACTTAACTAGTTGGCACAGTGAGACATATTCAGCTCATTCGTCAGAGTTTTTCTCTCTGTTACAAATCGGTCGCTCCGAAGATATGAGACCGTTTTCCCTCCCTCTATCATCCTATGCGACCGAGCGACTTCCGCTCACATGCAGACAATCACAACTGTTATCTTGTTCTTTCTCGCTGTTGTTCTATAACTCTTACATCTTGTTTCCTCGTCCCGCACCAACACAACTAACCCACCTAGACGTGGAAGCTAGTCTTTCCTTTCCTTATCTACGCGCGTCTCCCGACTACTCTCCGATGGTTTGATCTCCTCAGTCGGACAGCTCATATTTGCTCTCCTGTCTATCGCTTTTGCTGATCAATCTGGGATTTGGCTTATCATGCACTTCCTATTGGACTACTCCTTTATTGTAGCCTGACCAAAATTTAACGGTCATTTGACAGTCAAATTCTCCATTACTTGGGGCAAAGGAATTG